AAGAGAAGGACGGAGGATAATGAGGATAAGGAGGATCCTAATGGAAGATGATGCTGTTGATGCTGCTTTTGATGCTGATACTGATGCTGACGATGATGATAATAATGAGGATGATGATGATGCTGCTAATGATGATGCTGTTGCTGATGATGATGCTGCTGATCCTGGTTCTGCTGAAGATGATGTTGATGATGGTGCTGCTTATGATGATGATGCTGATGATGATGATTGTGATGGGTTATGACGGTGATGAGGATGAAGCAGATGAAGAGGAGGAGGAGGAGGAGGAGGAGTATGGAGAGAAGGAGTAGGGAAGGGACGGGGACAAAGAAGTGGAAAGAGGCAGGAGGATGAAGGAAGGGGGTGGAGGAGGTGAGGGGTGATAAGCAGGTTGAGGAGCAGCAGACGGAGGAGGCGTGAGCTGGGAGGGGGAGCCGTAGAAGGAGGAGGAGGAGGAGGAGGAGGAGGAGGAGGAGGGACCGTTGGGATGATCGACAATCGCACACCGCTGGAGGCCAGAGTGGGTGCGAGCGGGCCACGTTGCTCTCTCCGCGCCATCAGTGAGCGGCGCAGCCTCAGCATAGGCGGTGCTCCTGCCGAAGACTTCACCAGCACGTGCGAGTGGCCAGCATCGGAAATGCGCTGGGCCGGCGCCTCCGCCTTCGGGAATTCACTTCGATCTTCGCTCGGAGTTCCTTCCCTTCGCGAGTGAGGCCTGTGCAGAGGGGGGCGAGGTGGCCATGGCCATGGTCATGGGTAGCTGTCTTCCCGCGAGAGCGGCAGAACACACATCTGGTGTTTAGGGATATTTGTCGAAGTCTGGGGGGGCGCGGAGAACCCGCTCGCAGGCGGAGACGGGTCCCTGGACAAGGCACACGGCGTCACTGGCAGTGAGCCGGGCCTTGAGGAGAGGCGCGCAGCTCGTCGCAAGGTCGCCTGAGGTGGACACGCTGTCCACCGCCATCTGGCCTTGCCGCACCAGTGCTTGCGGCGGCAGGGCTGAAGCTTCGTCGGCCCCGGGCCCTCGGGCAGCGCTGGGCCGCTCGCAAACCCGGGGCCCGCGGCGATAGCGTCGGCCAACGCCCTCGGGGCTCTGCGCCGAGCAAGGGCACACCGGACGTCGTGGGGGTCAGGCAGAGCTCGCAGGACAGTGCCTCGTGAGCGGCAGACCCCGCACACGAAGCCGCGCAGGCGTTGCCGCTCGTGAGAGGCAGCCCGCGAGCGTCGCTGCCTGGCCCCTCATCCTGCCCGCCGTGCGGTGGGACCCCACGGGGCCTCGACATGCCAAGGGCCTCGATCGCTGGGGGCGCAGCGGATTCCCGCCGGTCGATCGGAATTGGAGCTTGGCCTTCGGAAACTTGCGCCGCGCTTTTTTTTACCAGCGCGGAGGAAGCCCAGTGGCGGAGGAGGGGGGGGAGGAAGAGAGGGGGATGCGGCGGGCGCGCGGCCCGCACCAGCGCCAGCGGCGGCGCCGCCAATTCAACGAACCAGCCTGGCGCCTCGGGCGCGACGGGGCGCGCGGCGAGCCGGGCCCGAAGCACCGCCCGCCAGTCGGCCTCGTGTGCCACTTGTGCCTCATGCTTTTCCCCGCGTGGAGCTAAGGAGGGTGGTCAGTGCCCAGCAGCGCGTGGTTGCGACTGTGCCCGGGGCCCGCGAGAAGGCCAACCCGTGGGCGTCGAGGGTCGCCGACCCGTCGCCAAGCGGGGTACTTTTGAGGAAGGAGGGGGGGTAAAGAGAGAGGGAGGAGGAGGGAGGAGGAGGGAGGAGGGCGACGGATGAGGGAGCCAGGAGAAGAAGAGGAGGGAAGAGGGAGGAAAAAGGGGAGGAGGAGGAAGGGAGGAGGAGGAGGTGGAGGAGGAGGAGGAGAAGTAGGAGGAGGATTAGGAGGGATGATGATGATGCTTATGATGATGATGATGATGATGATGATGATGATGATGGTGATGATGATGATGATGATGATGCTGATGCTGATGCTGATGCTGATGCTGATGCTGATGCGTGCTGATGATGAGATGATGATAAGATGCTGGTGATGATGAGGAGTGATGATGCTTGGTGATAATGCTGATGCTGATGCTGATGCCGATGCGAATACTGATGCGATAATGCTGATGATGACGCGATGATGATCAGGTGTGGTGATGATGATGATGTGGTGATGATGATGGTGATGATGCATATGATTATGATGATGATGATGATGATGATGATGATGATGATGATGATGATGATGGTGATGACGGTGGTGATGATGGTGGTGGTGGTGGTAGTGGTGCTGATGGTCATGGTGATGGTCATGGTGATGGTGATGATCAGGAGGAGGATGACGAGGATGATGGTGATGATGGTGCTGTTGATGCTGCTGCTTGTGATGATGATGACGACTATGATGATGATGATGATGATGATGATGATGATGATGATGATGATGATGATGATGATGATGATGATGATGGTGATGGTGATGGTGATGATGATGATGATGATGATGATGATGATCTTGATGATGATGATGGTGGTGATGATGATGATGATGATGATGATGATGATGATGGTTGTGGTGGTCATGATGGTGCTGTTGTTGCTGATGATGCTGCTAATGATGATGCTGGTGATGATGTTGATGATGAGGAGGGGTGGGAGGACTTGGGATGAGGAGGAAGAGGAGGAGGAGGAGGAGGAGGAGGAGGAGGAGGAGGAGGAGGTGCAGGGCGGCAGCTGTCCGTCTGCCGTGGGGGAGGCAACAGGGAGATTGAGAAAGACAAGAAGGAGGAGGAGGAGGAGGAGGAGGAGGAGGAGGAGGAGGGAACCACCACGGCAAAATATTGGGATGCTCCTGTTCAACTTTCGTTTGATAGGTTTGAGGTTTCCAACGCCCACGCCGGGTCGCACTTGAGCTCTCACGGGTACTTGAAGGTCGTGGTTCAAGACGTGCACGGCACAGCAATAGTCATCTCATGCCCGCCGAGGGGGTGTTAGCCCTATGGCATTCACCAGTGACGGGCATCCAGGCTGTTTCTGATTTTCAGGTCTTCATTCTGGGAGCTGCCTGCACGTCAGTAAAGGGGGCACGTCAATACAGGGTGTTTCTAGATTTCACTTTTGCGTGCAGGCGGCGCTCATGCGTACCACTTGGGCCTCTCTCTTAGTCTACATCTACCTTCGCGAGAGGAGGAGGAGAAGGAGGAGGAGGAGGTGGATAGACAGGGCAACAGGGGGTCGGAGAGGGGTGCCGGGAGGTAGAGGGGGGATGGTGATGATGATCATCATCATGATGATGTTGTTGATGATGATGATGCTGATGATGATGGTGACGATGCCGATGACGATGACGATGACGATGGTGACGATGATGGTTATGGTGGTTATGATGATGGAGATGCTGATGATGTGATGATAATGAAGATTACGATGGTGGTGATGTTGATGATGATGCTGATGGAGATCCTGATGATGATTGGGATGGGGATGGTGATGGTGATGGTGATGCTCATGACGAGGGGGAGGAGCAGGAGAAGGAGGTACGATGAGAAGCAGGAGGTTGCTCAGAGGGAGTATGATCACGAGGAGCAGGGTTGATGATGATAAGGATGGTGGTGCTATGGTGGGATTGGTGGGATGGTGATGATGGTTGCATTGATGATGATGATGATGATGATGATGATGCTGACAATGATGATGATGATGATGATAATGATGATGATGATGACGCTGATGCTGATAATGATGTTGATGGTGATAGTGATGATGATGGTGATGGTGATAGTCATGATGATGTGCATGATGCTGATTCTGATGGTTACGATTCCGATGATGTTGTTGTTGCTGATGATGCTTGTCATCCTGGTAGTGATGCAGATGACGACGATGACGATGAGGATGACGATGGTGATGGTGATGGTGATGGTGCGTTTGATGATGTTGATGATGATGGTGATGGTGATGACGATGATGATGACTTTGTTGACGCTGATGAGTTTGATGTTGGTGATGATGCTGATGATGCTGCTGATGACAATGGCATGCTGGTGATGCTGATGATGGTTGTGGTGTTTCCGATGATGATGGTGATGATGCTGATGATGATGCTGCTGACGCTGATGCTGATGCTGGTTCCGATGATGGTGATGATGATGATGATGATGATGTGGTGGATGCTGGTGATGATGCGGGTAGTGATGACGACGATGATGAGCATGATGTTGATGTTGATGATGATGATGTTGATGTTTATGATGATGATGATGATGATGATGCTGATGATGATGATGAGGATGCTGATAATGGTGATGATATGGTGGTGATGTTTATGATGGTACTGATGCTACTGATGATGCGGATGCTCATAATGGTGATGATGTTGATGATGCTGTTCACGATGATGATGAGGTTGATGACGATGATGACGATGCTGCTGATGATGAGGATGATGATGGTGATGATGATGATGATGCTGATGATGATGATGATGATGATGATGATTGTGGTGGTGATGATAATGAGGATGATGAGGATGATGATGATGATGACGATGATGATGATGATGATGATGATGATGCTGATGCTGATGATGATGATGATGATGATGATGATGATGATGATGATGATGCTATGGATGGTGCTGGTGATGATGATGCTGATGTTGTTGTTGAGGATGATGGTGATGATGATGAAATTATTATGATGGTATGTGTGACGGTGATGATCGGGTAAGGACATAACGGTCTGGGAGCCTTGCTGGGCGCAGCCGATATAAATTAACATGCACACACACACACACACACACACACGGGGGCCCTCGCCCCCCGCCGATGGAGGAGGAAGGTGAGGTGAGCGCGCTGTGGCGCTCAGCAGCACGGGCCTCCCGCCTCCGAGCCGCGCCCCCGCGAACGGCTACGCTGGCGGCTCAGCGGCTCGGGGCGGCCGCCGCCGAGCTCGGCGCTCGCGCCTCCCCGCGTGGGGCGCCTCCCCTGCCGCATCCTCCTCGGTGCGGCGGCCTGGCGGGCGCTGGCACTTCCGGCGCACTGGTTGCGGAGCGAGACCACGCGCGCACCGTCCGCGTAGCAGCCGCAGACCGTGCAGAAGACGAGGCGGCCCTGCCCTTCGCCGAGTGCCCAGAGGCGGTGCGACTCATCGAAACTGACGTTCCACCAACGCGGGCGGCCGCCCGCGATCTCGGCGCCCGCGGCTGCGCCGCTCTCCTCCGCGCTGCCGGCGCCGTGCTGGGCGCCTCCGCGAGCCTGGGTCGCCAGCGCCGCCGCCGCCACGGCGCCAGAGACGGCCGCTCCGGCGCCCTCGGCGCCTCCTCGGCCCGCGCCCGCGGCGGTCCGCGCGCGGGCGCGCCGCGCCTCGGTCTCCTGGCCAGGGGCCTGGCGCTTCCGCCCCGCCGCCTGATGCCCAGGTGGCCCGCCATGGACGGGCGTGCCGTCCGATCGGCCCGCGCATGCGTTGCAGAGCCAGCGCGACCCGTTCGCGTCCGAGACCGCCGTGCCGTGCGCAGCGCAGGGCCATCGTCTGCAGCTTGGCCCGCCGTCGCGGCATCGCGCGGCGCCCCGCCGCCCGCATCCGCGCCCGCAGCAGGCGGGCTCCGCTGCGCCCGCGTCCGCGCCGTCGGCCGCCGTGAAGGCGGCGCTCCCCAGCTGCAGCGCCTCGCCGAGCCAGCGGGCTGTCGCCAACGCGATCGCGCCGGCCAGCTCGATGCGCCTCACCGCCGCCTCGCCCGTGGGGTGGAGCTCCGCGCCCTTATTGGCAAAGCTGTCCGCGGCGCGGTTGCTCTCGTAGTCGTCCACCATGGTGTAGCCGTCGCGGACCGAGCGGACCGAGGCGTGCCCCTTCACCTTGACCCGCACGAGCTGCTGGCCGCCGAAGCCCTCCATGGCCTGCCGGAACTCGCGCCACACCTCCAGGTACGGGCGGTCCCACGCGCAGCACCAGGCCCTGCCCGCGGCGAACCCCGTCAGAGCAGCTTGCGGTCTGTCCTGATCTCGAGGGATCCGTCTGCGCCTGGCATGACCCAGCGCAGGGCACGGGCCGCAGCCAGGATCTCGCCCGCGTCCGCGTCCTGCGGCAGGTGGGCGGGGACGCAGCCCCAAGGGCCGCGCGCTGCCCGCGGGCCTGCAACGCCGCGAGCCCCCAGCCAGCGCGCACCTCGGGCGACCCCGCCTTGCCGCGCATCGCCGAGCCGTCGGTGCACAGGGCGCTTGCGCCCGCCAGGGCCGCGTAGCCGTGGTCGCTGCTCCACCGCACCTCCTCGGCCTCCAGCGGCGGCGGGAGGGCTGCCCTCTGGTCGGGGACCAGGGCCCTCGAGTCGCGGGGGCCCTCGCTGTCGGACGCCTCGGCCACGCTGGCGAACGCATGCAGCACCTCGTCGCCCGCGACGGCGTCGCTGCCTCGCTGCCGCGAGGGCGGGGCACCGCCAGGCGAGGTGCCGCGCCGTGCCGCGGCCGCCGCGCCCCGCGGGGCAGGCGCCCGGGCGGCGCGGCGGCGGGTCGAGGGCGGCTCGGCGGGCCACGGGCTGGAGCCCGGCGAGGGCCGCGCGGCGGGCGCTGGGCCACCGCGCCCGCTGCTCGGCGTTCGCCTTGGCGGTGGGCATCCGCCGACGGAGGCAGCGGGCGGCTTCGCCGCTGGCCACGCGCTCGAGGTCCTCGTCGCGAGCTGCGGCTTCGCGGCAGAGCCAGCGCTGGTGTGAGTCGCGGACGTGCCTGCGAAGCGCGTGGCCGCCGATCCCCTCGAGCTTCAGCGGCGTCCCGTCGTCCATGGTCCAGCGGTGCATGGCCGTTGAGCTCCAGCAGGGCCGCTCGAGCGCGAGCAGCGCCGCCGCCGCGGGGCCGCGCCCCGCCAGGGCGCCAGGCCCCCGCTCGAGGCGAACCCGCACGGCGTGCCTCCACGCCCAGAGCATGTCGTTGGTGGTGTCGGGGTGGTCCCGCGCGAGCCCGCGATCCTGGGCCAGCAGCGTCTGCGAGCGCCAAGGGTCGCGCCAGGGGGCGGCGGCCAGCGCGAGGCCCACCTGCAGCGATCGGCCCCGCGCGCTGCCGAAGGCGAGCGACCCGACCGCCGAGCGCCACTGCTCGAGCTCGCTCGTCGCCCAGGCCTGCACGCTGCAGCCGTAGGCTGTCGCCAGCAGGAGGCCGCCCACGAGCAGGCGCATTGTGGCATTGATGGACTGGCGCCGCACGCCCGCCACCCGCCCCTGCTGCTCGCGGGCCTCGGCGTGCCGCTTCCTCGCCACCCCCGCCGCGGCCGAGCCGTCCAGGCAGAGGTCCACGCCCAGGTTCTTCGTGACCCTCGTCGGCCTGGCGCTCAGGGTGCTGGACTTCAGCGCCGCCTGGACCTCGTCTCGCGTCAGCGGGTCGGATGCCACCACCTCCGTCTTGGTCCCCGAGATCCTGCGGCCGAGCGCGGTCAGACCCGCTGCCGCCGCGAGCCCCGCCTGCACCAGGTGCTTCGCGATCGCCCTCGGGGCGCGCCCGTAGCAGGCCGCTGCCGTGTCGTCGTAGAAGATGTGCATGTCGGGCTTCAATTCGCCGCTGATGCACGCGCCGAACTCCTCGGAGTGCGCCTTCGCCACCGGTAGCATCGCAGCCTTCAGGATCCTCCGCGCGCACGGGCTGCCAGCCAGCAGGCCCGCATCCAGCGTGCATGCCTCGGCCACGATGCTGCCCGCCCGTATCCGTCGGCGCCCGCAGTAGGTCGACATGGCGCAGCGGACCAATCGGCCGCGCAGGCCAGCTCGGCGGGCCAGGCGCTCGGCGCGGGCCAGCCGCACCGTCTCGTGCGCTTTCTCGAGGACGATCAGCAGCGCGGCTCTGTGAAGCTGCTGTGCCCCTGCCGCCTCGGCGGCCAGCGCTTGGCGCCATGCGGGCTCCTGGGCCGAGCGCCCTGGTCCGCCCCAGAAGGCGCCTGCGCCGCTGCCTCGGAGGGAGGCTTCCCAGCGCCGCGTCTCGGCCTGCCTGAGCTTATTCCGGATTCGCGGGATGCTGGAGAGGAGCCCGATGGGCCGCCAGCCGCCCGTGGGTTTTGGGCAGCATCACGATGAGCGACGCCCGCGCCGCCAGCGGCCAGCCGCCCCATTCCTCGGCCGCCATGCCGATGTCCACGAAGAGCTCGGCCGTGGCCGTGGACACCTGGGCCGAGGGCTCGGGGCGATACGCGGTTGACGCCCATGCCCGCGTGCCTCGCGAAAGACCTGGCGGCGTCCAGCCACTCGTTTGCAGTCGGCCTGGGCAGCGCCTCCGAGTCCGATGGCCTCTCGAAGTCCTGCCACCCCTCCGAGCCGTCGGCCGTGCTCCAGACCTCGGTCGCCCAGTACCTGTCGATGGCGCCCACCTCGCGCTGGCCCGCTCTCGGGGCGCCCAGCACGTCCAGCTCGTCCTCCTGCCGTCCGCGAGGGCCGCGCCGCCAAGCGAGGGGCCCGCCTGCGCCGTGCTCGAGCGCCTCCAGCACCCACCTGTTGAAGCGCGCATGGCGGCGCCGGCTGTGCTCAGCGGCCAGCTCGGCGGCCCTGAGGCGGGCTCCGGAGGCCATCGCCGCCAGCTCGTCGGTGGTCGCGACGGCCACGGCCGCCAGCGCGACGACCCAACGGGCGCCGCAGCACCTGGCCGCCCGCGCAGGCACGCGCCGCTGCGTGCGCCGCCGCGCGGCAGCGCCCGGGTAGCCGGCCACGGCGAGGAGGTGCCGCGCCTGCCCGCTCGACTTGGGGCCGCCCGAGGTCTGCGGGTGGTCGGAGGCAGGGCACGCCCAGCGCTCCTCGGGCTCCTGGCCGCGCCCGCAGTGCGCCCGCTCGTCCAGCGGGTCGGCGACATGGCACGCGCAGCAGACCTTTGCCTCGGCCTGGCGCATGGCCCCGAGGTGGGCCTCCTCCATCGCTTCTGGAGAGGAGACCGCCGCGGCCGCCAGCGCCTGCAGGTCGGCTGACGGCGGGTCGGCCTCGCGCCGCTGGCCGAACGGCTTCGGCAGCCCCAGGATCCGCACGGGCGCGATCTCCATGCGCGCGTTCAGCACGAGCTTGACGGCGCAGTGGGGCTTGAATGGCCCAGGGGTGACCGTACTGCAGCTCCTCACGGCGTCCGCCAGGCTGCGGTGCACGACAAAGTAGTCGAGGTTGGTGGGCACGGCCGCCTGGAAGCAGGCTTCGCCCTCGGCCGACTGCACGATTACGCCCTGCACCGCCTCCAGCCACCAGCCCGCCTTCGCCTTGAAGACGTCAGGCGCGGCGTTGAAATCGCCGCCGAGAACCCACGGCCTGCCCTGGGATACCAGCGCGTCGCCGATCTCGATGAGGGCCCACAGCGATGCCTCCCCCACCATATCGTTGGCAAGGTAGACGCTGCCGAGGGCGAGGCCGCCACGGCGGACGACGTCCGTCACCGCGACGATGCCGCGCCCGTCACTGCAGGTCCTGCGGCCTCCACCCGCCGTGCTGGCGTTGGCCAAGCCGCGCGTGGCGGGGACGGCGACACCGACGCTATCCGAGGCCGCGCGGGATGATGATGATGATGATGATGATGATGATGATGATGATGATGATGATGATGATGATGATGATGATGATGATGATGATGATGATGATGATGATGATGATGATGATGATGATGCTGATGATGATGCTGATGCTGATGCTGATGCTGATGCTGATGCTGATGCTGATGTTGATGATGCTGATGATGCGCTGAGATGCTGATGATGATGATGATGCTGATGATGATGATGATGATGATGATGATGATGATGAGCTGATGCTGATGATGCTGATGCTGATGCTGATGCTGATGCTGATGATGATGCTGATGCTGATGCTGATGCTGATGCTGTGAGCTGATGTGATGCTGATGTGATGTGATGATGATGATGATGCTGATGATGATGATGATGATGATGCTGATGCTGATGCTGATGCTGATGATGATGATGGTGGTGGTGGTGATGGTGATGGTGATGGTGTTGGTGATGGTGATGGTGATGGTGATGGTGATGATGATAGTGCTGATGATGATGCTGATGATGCTGATGATGCTAATGATGCTGCTGATGATGCTGAGGATGAGGATGATGATGCTGATGATGATGCTGATGTTGATGCTAATGCTGCTGATGCTGATGCTGATGCTGATGCTGATGATGATGGTGATGATGAGGATGAGGATGAGGATGATGATGATGATGATGATGATGATGATGATGATGATGATGATGATGATGATGATGATGATGATGATGATGATGATGATGATGATGATGATGATGATGATGATGATGCTGATGACTCTGATGATGAAGGTGGTGGTGATGGTGATGATGACGAGGTGGATCAGGAGGAAGAAGAGGGGGAGGATGAGGAGAAGGAGGAGGACGAGGAGGAGGATAAGTGTGATGAGGAGTGGGGAGGGAGGTCTGCACGCATCGCCCGCCTGGGGGAAGGCTGCAGAGGACGCAGGCCGAGATCAAGCAGCGGAGATCCGACCTCCGCCGAGAGCGGCAGAGCTTCGAGGAGGAGCGCGGCGTCGTCGTGGCAGAGACAACATTTTGGCCCCTCCCCTGAAGGGCCCCTCGAGCCAGGAGTGCCGGCTGCTCGGCGTCGAGCGAGCAGTTGTCGATCGTGACCGTCCGTGGGAGGCGGGAGCGGTTTCGGAGTTCCACTGGCGCAGCGTACAGTCGGGGCGCTGAAGAAGGAACCCTTTAGTTGGGGAGGGGCTCGGTGTTCCTTAATTGTTTTACAGTTTGTTTGCCTTGGGTTTTCCTGAGGTCTTCTATGGGGAATCGAAATTTAACTTATGGGAAAAAGGGGCATCGTTCCTTATTTAGGGTTCCTTAGGCCAACGCACCGACTGTATGTCTGCTGCAGCCGGTCCGCGAGTGCTGGCCGGAGAGGGCGCGCGAGGCTCGGTGGAGCTTCCCTTGCCCACGCCCCTCGCGGCTGCTGCCTCGAACCTGCAGACGGCCCTCGCCCCTGCAATTCCTCGGCATCGCTCGGACGTGTGCATGTTTCCTCCGGCGAGGACCATCGAGGAGCATCCTTGATCCTTTGGCGAAAGAACCACGCACGAGGCCGCACAAGAGCACAAGGAATGGGCGTCCGAGCGATGGCCAGATTCCGGGTTGGCAGGGCTGGCCTCTGGCTGGCACTTTTGGTCGGGTCGCGGGATGGCTCGTGCTCCGGGGGCGGCGGCGGTCGGCGCGCGGGGGGGGCGCGAGCTGGTGCGGACGGCCGCGGGTCGGCTGCCTGCCGCGGTGCTGTCCGCTGCCGTGCAGCTCGCGGCGAGGAGGGCCGAGGCCCGCTGGGATCGCCACCTCTGTCGTTTCGGCTGCGGTCGTGTGATGTCCTGAATCGCCTGCTAGTGCCCGTCGATGCTGATGCCCCCCGTATTTCACATCCCCGTATTTCACATCGCACATTTTTCCACATCGCACCCCTTTTCGCTGCCGCGCCCTTTTGTTTCCACTTTTGGGTGAGGTCCAGCCCCCGTTATGCACCTCATGCGTTCGCCTGTTTCAGCGCAGCGCGTTGCTGAGTTAAACCGATGTTCTGGTTTAGCTCTCGCCGCCCCCCGCTTCTGTGTTTCTTCCAGCGCCCTTGTGCTTCCATTTTGTATAGTCGCTGTTCCTCTTCTTGATGCTCCTTTTCTGATATCACTCCTGAATGCTTTTCTTGCGCACTGCGGGTCCTTCATAATGCCAGTCAGCATTGGGTGGTCCTGAATATGAACGCCACGTGTACAAAAAGGGTTGGGTATGTCTCAGGGTAATTGTTAACATGCGTGTCACATTTGTATTTCGTGAGCTCGCGGAAGTCATATTTTCCACACCGGTTTCAAATTTATAATAAACACTGTTTTTAGCTGTTTGCCTGCTCCAGGGCGTCATAACCCTGGAGTGCCTCTTGGGGCCATCTTCGAGGCTATCCATCAAAGGAGAGAGGGCCCCGATCGGCGCCCCCCCCCCCTCGGGGGCCACGATACTCGTGAGGGGTGTAAACAATTGGCCCTCCCACGGGCTGATTTCGGACGCTTCAACGACTCGCGGCCCCTCCCGTCCAGGTCAAGGGGGGGGTAGGGGGAGGGTCAAGACACCCTCTCCGCACGCAAGCCGTCTAGCTCACTCCCACCCGCCCTCCCGCCACATAAGTGGCATCCGAGTCTCGGCATAGCCAGGGGTCGCCACTGCATGAACAGCCACTGGGCACCAACGCGGACGCCAGGTGCGCGACGCTCGCCGCGGGTTCAAACAAAAAAACGCGATGCCCCCCTGTCCGCATGGTCCAGATGTTCATGCGGAGGGCGTCAGCATTGTTCTGGGCCTGCGCACAGCAAGCATCATCATGCGGGCACCGCCGCCTTGTCAAGAATCAATACAAAGTGATCGCGGGTGGCCAGCACAATGCCCACGAAGTTGTCGCAACGTGCACTTTGCATTGTTTTCGGCACGGATGGTGGTCCTGCACAATGCGGCTTCACTAAGGGTGCATCGCTATCCCCATCGAAAAACAATACAACGTGCTCACAGGGCGCCAGCGCACTGACCAGATTTTGCTGCACTGTGCAGCTCGTATTGTTTTTCTGACAGGGATTGTGGAGGGTATTGGGCCCCGCAACGTGCATGTTGTATTGTTTTTTGTCAGGGATGGGGGGGGGGCGCATGGTTCCGGTTGGCTGCCGGCCATGTGGGGGAGGGGGGGGTTATTAATAATGAACAGTGAGATTCACCCTTCCCCCAAGGGGAAGAAGGGTTTTTGGAAGAGTGAGGAAAGGCATCGTTAGACCACCCGCGCCCAGTGGGCTGGTGGGATCTATAATATTGATCATACACATAATACGGATGATGTTGATGATGATGATGATGATGATGACGACGATGATGATGCTGATACTGATGGATATGATGATGATGATGATGACTATGATGATGATGGTTATGATGATGACACGGAGGAGGAGGAGGAGGCGGAGCAGGAAGAGAAGGAGTCGAAGGGACCAACGGGGGTAAGGAGTCGAACAAGGAGGAAGGAGGCGTAATGATGTGTGGAGGCTTCGAAGCGGAGCTGAGCCAGCAGCGGGGTCAACTTCCAACCTCGTTCTGCCAGCCCGCTCCCCGAAGGACGGAAACGAGTGATCGATAAAAGTAGCTGCGCCACCCCCTCTGCTTTTGTCCGCCTTCCGAATCCTACTGGCTGACATCCGGCAACTCGAACAGCCTCAGCGTTGTTGCACGAGTTCGGCTTCTGTGCATTTCGCGGGCGCTCTGGGCAAGTGACCGATGGGCCTGCGGAGCAGGCATTGAACAAATAAGGACTTTGGGGGGCTTGCGTTTGGTGAGCCCCTGTTGGAACCTTCCAGGAGGATGGGAGGGAGTCGAAGTTCGAAGCATAGGCGATCCGTGCATCCGCGATCGCACCTTTATTCATACCCCTACCGCTGCCTCCAACCCTGCATGCCAAGGCAAGGGTGCATGGCGTGGCCAAAAAGTCGGCTTCCAAGGTTCAGTGTTTCATCCATGCCCCCACTCCAGGCGTCTCGTGGAGCTGAGGCGTGAGCATGGGCACGGATGAAGCCTCGATCGCCCAATGTAGAGCCTTTCGCGGCGTCTTGTCGCCAGGAGATCGAAGCGGCCCTCCTCTTCACCCTCTGCTTCCTCCCTCCCTCCTGACCGGGCAGGAGAAGCTGTCGGTCTGGCACCTGTTCATGGCCGAGAAGCAGCGCGAGGCCTGCTCCGCCAAGCGGCTCGCGCCGCTTAGGCTTCGTAGGCTCTCCCTCCGCTCCTCCTCCTCCCCCCGCTCCGCGCCCCCCCCTTCCTCATTCCCTTTCTTCATCCCTGCTGAGGACGAGGGGAGCAGGAGGAGCTGGAGGAGGACCAGGGTAAACATAGGATGCAGCCACGATGATGCCATCCACAATCCCGTCCCGAGTCCACTCATCGCAAGGCCCCAACTACCAGCACTCGTCTTTACTTCGGGGAGCACCCGTTGAGAGGCGAGTGCCCGTTGGGCCTGCCATTCGAAAGAGCCGCGCTCCCGAGAAGGAACCGCCTCCATCTTTCTGTCTAGATGCGGCCATGAGCTCCGCGTGAAACATACCAGTGCGGGCCCAGAAATGCACGCCACCAACACGTCCCTCAGCCCCTCCCTCTCGGCCCAACAGGGGTCCGATACGGCCGCTGAGCGCTCTGGGACGACTTTAAATGCTATCAAGACGGCCCGAGAGGCCTCCAGTACACTTCGGAGGGCTTTCAGAGAGTCCCCTGGAAGTGCTTCCGGAGGGCTTCCAAGAGGCGGCCGGGAGGCAGATTTTTCCGTTGTTCACAAGATGCTTCCCATGATTTTCGTTCCCTCATTCATCTAGTTGTCTTTGTGCGTCCTCATTCCTCATGGTTCCCCGCCTTTCGATTCTCCTGCGCCTGCTTCCACCCCAATGGTTTGACCGCACATCATGTGATGGCGCCAAGCTAGAGCCCAAACGCGCGAAGCGCGCGTGTGGTTCTAGAGTTATATATATATATATATATATATATATATATATATGCATCTATATATCTATATATATAGATATGTGTGTGCAAATGTCTATATACATTTACACGACTACTTTATACACATGTAAATGTGTCGGAAGTTGGGGGTGAGATCGCGTTGGAACGGAGACCCCCAACCGGGAAATCGTTTCGTTTTGTTCGTGTCATGAGTGCGGGCGAGGCGAAGCTGCATGGGCGCGCAAGGGGAATGACCCCGCCGTTGCTAGGGCGAAGTCAAGATAAAGGTTCCGTCCGTCCGTCCGTCCGTCCGGCGGTGGCCCTAGCGGTGTCCCGTGGTGTCCCGTGGTGTCCGCCGTTGCTAGGGCGAAGTCAAGACAAATGTTGCTCCCCCGTCCGTGCGTCCGTCCGGCGGTGGCCCTAGCGTCGGGGGTGGCGAGACCTCCGACCCTGACACGTCGATCAGTGAATTGTCCGTTTTCGGTTCTCGAGAGGGCGCCGCGGCCGTCATTTTCCAGGCTTGCGCCCGCCAGGTTTGGGCCCGAGATCGTTTTCACTAAACCACGTTTTACTAAAGGGAAGACTGTCCATCCCCGATAGCGGTGTCCCGCGGTGTCCCGTGGTGTCCCGTGGTGTCCCGTGGTGTCCGCCGCTGCTAGGGCGAAGTCAAGACAATCGGGCTGGACGAAAGGGGGGGAATTGGGAAAGGGGGGAATTGGCAAAGGGAATTGGGAATAATCAGGCTCACCCTGTTTCAGACACATCAAATACACGCAAACGCACACCCACTCAGATTCTGCCTCGCTCATACTCAGACTCACCGCGAGCTAGCAGGCATCGTAGCTGGGTATCTCAAGAGGGTGTCCACCAGGGGCTGTTCACGGGCCCTTTCGCGCACACATTGGTTGGACCTCTCAGGCAGAGCGCCCGTTAACGGAAGAGGCGTGTGCCTTTTCTTTACGGCCTCATGACCACCGCGATGCAGCAGGCATCACCCTTGAGGCTCCCAAGGGGGCTGTCGATGAGGGGTGCTCCACACGCCCGCTCGCTCCCAGATTGCTAGGACATCAGTGTTGGGAAGCAAGCGTTCACCACCCACCAAGCCACCCCAACCCAACCCGAAGGCTTCAATTTGCCCTCCATTTCCAGTGTGGGGGGGTCGGGACACATTGAAAAGACACATGGAACCCGTACCCCCCCCCAACACGAAATTCGGGTCAAATTCGGGTCTTTGGGTTGGGTTGGGGTGGTCTTGTAGGTAGTCAAGCGTGTGTCGGTTCAGGGCTGGCCCGCTGCCCGGGGCAACGCGCAGACGCCCGCAGTCACAGTGCTGCGCGGGCCGTCTGCCCATCGCGGCGCCGGCGATGGCGCCGGCGCCGCCGACCCACCCGCGGGGCACCCTTCCGGCTGCCGCTGCTCGCAGCCTCCTTACGCAACCGGGCACTTGGGCTTGGTCTTGCCGCCTGTCCCCCTCCGCGGGCCCGGCATTTTGTCGACTGGACGTAAGAGTGACCTTTCGCCGGAGTGATTTTTGGTGCGGGCACAGATGGGTCCCCCGATGGCTGAAAACGAAGCAGGAGCAGCGGCTTGCGCGCCCAGGTTTGGTCCCCCGCGGCCCCCAAAAAACCGCGCACCAAAGGTCACTCTTACCAAGGGTCACTCTTGCGTGTAGCCGAATTTTGAAGGTTGCAGTCCTACCTTGACTGCACACGCACTTGCCGTACAATGCCACGCGCCACCCGCCCGGGCGGCCTGCGGCCCCGTCTGCGCCCGTGGGTGCCCCGGCGCCGCGGCCCGGCAGCTGCCACGGTTCTCGCCGGCTGGGCCGGCCGCGCAAGCATGCTCAGGTGCAGGCCCGTCCGCCCCTGAGCGCCTCCTCTTCCGCCCCCTCCCCCGCGGCCGCCTTGCCTCCGCTTTTTCCCGTCGTGCACGCTAGCCAAGTCGCTTCACGGCGCCCCCGTCCAGTTCTTCGCTGGCGCAGCCAACTCTGCCTCGCCGCCGGCGGACAAAATCAGTTCGGGGCAACGTGGTCACCGCGATGTAGCAGGCGTCGCAGATGAGCCTCCACTGGGGATTGCCGACCAAGGGTGGTTTACGTGCACTTTCGCGCCCACGTTGGTGGGACCTTCCAAGTATAACGCCCGTTTATGTAAGTAGGCGTCTGCCTTTTTCGCAGCCTCAGGGCCGCCGCGATGTATCGTGCACCGTGCTTGGGGTGCCGGTGGGGGGTGATTCACGGGCCCGTTCGTGCCAGGATTTGTAAGATATCCGAGGTAGAACGTTTGGCGATTGGCAGTGCACGTCTATTTTTGTCCAGGACACACGGTCACCGTGAGTACACCACAGTTGGGTTCCCAAAAAGGGTGTCGACCATGAGTGGTTCACGGTCCCGTTCGAGCCCTCATTGTTTGGACATATCAGATACTGGAGGGGGGGACCAAGGAATTGTGTTTCACTGGGCGGTTTCGCACCCAGATTGGCAGCACCTCTCAGGCAACACTCTCGTTTTGATCCGGGAAAATGTGTGTGTACATGCGTGCGTGCGTGCGTGCGCGCGTGCGTGCGTGCGCGCGTGGGTTTGTGTGTGTGTGTGTGTGCGTGTGCGTGTGCGTGTGCGTGTGCGTGTGCGTGTGCGTGTGCGTGTGCGTGCGTGCGTGTGTGTATGCGTGTGGTATTCACGACCCCATGACTACCGCGATGTAACAGGCATCACATGTTCCCCGCCCCCCCCCTCCCAACGGCGGGGGTGCCGATGAGAGGTCGTTTACGGGCCCGTTCGCGCCCAGTGCGTTGGGACTTCCTATGCAGAACGCCCGTTTCGGACAATACTCGTGAAGTATTCCTGTGTCTGAGAGGCCAGTTCGAGTATAGATGGGGACATTTCAGGTAGAACGCCAGTTTGGGGAAGTAGATGTGCGTCTACTCGGGGTACCATGCTCACCGCGATGTAGCGGGCATGTCAGTTGGGCCTCCCGAGGGGGTGTCGACCAGGGATGAGATGGTGCATTGCCCGTTCGCTCCCGAACTGGTTGGATCTCTCAGGTGGAACGCCCGTCTTGGGAAGTGTAGGCGTGTCTTTCCAGGGCCCCTCCGTCATGTCGCAGGCATCGCATTCGGACCCCCAAAGGGGTTATCGGCCAGGGCGTTTCACGAGTAAGTTCGCGCTTATATTGGTGAGACCTCCCAATGCGGACGCCCGTTTTGAGAAGTAGACGTGCGTCTCTTCAGAGTCCCATGACCACCAGGATGCAGCAGGCATGGCATGTGCGCCCCCCCCCCGCCCCATGGGCGTGCTGACCAGGAGTATTCCACGGGCCCGCTCGCGCCCATAATGGTTGGTCGCCGCATGTAAAATGACCGTTCTGGGAGTGCGACGTGTCTCTCGTCACAGGCAAAGTCGTACCGCGAAATAGATAGGGTGAGGAGGAAGGGGAAGGGGAGGGGGAGGAGGAGTAGAAGGAGGAGGACGTCGAAACCGAGGACGAAGAGGACGAGAGGCGGATTGCAAGAGTACCAGCAAAGAGCTGCTGAGAGCATCCGAAAACGGCAGGGAGCAGAGGAGAGCAGCCGAGAACAGCGGAAACCAGCAGATAATAGCACACAGCGTTGCGGGCATTCGGAATCAGTCACACTTCGTCTTACTCGCGCTGAAACATTTGAAACAGAACGTCCATACCATTGTATGTCTGGGGGGTATCCTCTTCGAAACCTTTCCGCCACGTTGCGGCTCCAGACGCAAGAGGGTTCAGTCATCCACCATCTGGCTACATGGCATTACGCTCGGCGGCCCACACGGCGTGGTTGAGACTATGGATCTACATCGTATTTTGGTGCTTCGTGTGGTTTGAGGTGTGAGGGAGATGCGCCCCACAAAGCCATGTTCTGGTGGTTATCCCCCTCTGTGACGCGTGCGACCGCGGTGCTACATGCTTCTGAGAGTGCGTTGGGAGTGATCATTTTTTGAAGTGCCGTCTGGCAGCAGAACTACGGGCACTCACGCTGCGCACGGTGGAGGATCTCACCGAGCGCGTTCTGGTATTCGCAGAGTGTCTACTCGCCAACGTCCGAACACACACACACACACACCCACACACACACACACACACGCACGCGCACGCGCACGCGCACGCGCACGCGCACGCGCACGCGCACGCGCACGCGCACGCGCACGCGCACACTCACACGCACACGCACATGCGCACACACGCACACACGCACACACGCACACACGCACACACGCACACACCCACACACGCACACAAACACACACACACACACACACACATATACACATACACACACACGCACACACGCACACACACACACGCATGCTTGCCTCGATGTAATGTATCACATATCCAGGCCATTTGCGAGTGGCGACTGTGCGAGCATTGGAACGCGCTCGTTGAGGATCAGGAGAGTGGGATGGCATGTTGGCGCCTGGCCCGACCGCCCCACCTCCCGCCTCTCCTCCCCCCCCCCTCCCCCTCTGCTTCCTCCTCTCCCGCTCCCCCTCCTCCAATCTCCTGCGTCCCATGCCTTCCCTTTGTCCCTCCACCCCTCTCTCCACAAGGGGATCTTCTTCCTTTCCCTCTCCCCCTCCTCCAATTTCCCACGTCCCATCCCTTCCCTTTCTCCCTCCACCCCTCTCTCCACTTCCTCCCTCCCCCCTCCCTCTGCCGCGTACCAAGGGGAGACAGGGGAGGCACGGGAAGGAGGTTGGAGGAGAAACGAGAGGAGGAAGAAGAGGAGAGGGAGGAGGACTGGTGCGGTGGAGCGGGCGGAACCTAGGTTGGCGCCTTTGGATCGGCCGCTCTCCGAGTTGGAGGCCCCAATCGTCCTCTTTGGCCAATGTGGAGGACGACGCTCAGCTTCTCCCAGGGCTTTCACCTGGGGAAGCTCACCTTCCAGCAGTCAGAAGGCTCGCAGGACGTCTGCCTTCGTGGCTTTGCCTCGGTCCTGCAGGAGCCCGCGTGGAGGCAGCGACTCGACGCCCTGTGCAGTGGGGCCGCATGCGAACAGCCAGCAAGTCGCGCTGAGGCTGTGCCAGCCCGCGCGGCTCACTGCGGCTCATTCTTGATCGTTGGACGGCATCGCGTGTGCTTAGCAGGACGGAGGAGGATGGGGAGCAGGCGGCGGATGAGGAGAAGTGGGGGAGACAGAAGAGGAGGGGGGAGATGAGTGGACGGACGAGGAGGGGTGAGCAGGAGGGGGAGGCAAAGGATGAGGGGAGGGGGAGCCGGAGGAGGAGGGTGAGGGTCAGACGAGGAGAGGGCAGAAATAGAAATGATGAGGGGAGGAGTTGGAGGGGGGAGGAGGAGGAGGAGGAGGAGGAGGAGGATGAGGAGGAGGAGGAGCAGGACTAAGACAAGGAGGAGGAGGAGGAGGAGGAGGAGGAGGAGGAGGAGGACGAGGATGACCGTGGAGTCCTCTCGGAGCTTCGGGGGGACCGTCTTGTGTTCCTCTTCGGGCTCTCCTGGCGCCTTCTCGGCGCGCCTTTTTGGGGTCTGCAGGAGGTGCGCGGAGGTGCCTCACAGGCCGCGGGAGGCCCCCTGCGGAGGCCCAGAGGGTGCTGGAAGCATCCACGCTTGCGGCCTCCCCGGTCCGTACCCATGATGGCTCCAGCCGCTTCGGCTCAACCCTGTCTGTCTCGAGGCTGAAGAGGCCCGCCCCCGCCTGCCATCCTCTCGCCCAGGCGGCTGGACTCCCATAGTCAAGGGCAGAAAAATCGCCCCTACCCTGGTTCACGAGGCGCTGTGCTCTGAAACTCCTGTGGGCTGACAGGGTAGACCCTGCGTAATGTGCCGCGTCCTGGCGGCTCCAGGCGTTGGGGGTTCCCAGGTTGTTTACAGACCACGCACTTGTAACCCAGGGTAGGGTCGTTTTTTCATCCCTCAACATAGGCGGCATGGCGGCGGAGCTGCAGGAGCCGAAGAAGCCCGCGAACGCCTACTGGATCTGGCTCGGCGACAACCGCGAGTCGCTGATGAAGGAGGCTGGCAGCAAGAAGGCGCCCATCATCGGCAAGCTCGCGGGTGAGAAGTGGAAGGCCATGTCGGCGGCGGCCAAGAAGCCCTTCGAGGACAGGGCCGAGAAGCTCAAGTCCGAGTACGACACGGCCATGGAGAAGTTCAAGGCCAGCGGGGGCCAGGTGGGCAAGCGGCGCCTGGAGAAGAAAGAGGCGAAGGAAGGACAACAGGCCAAGACTGCCCGGAAGGCGAAGAACGAAGCCGAGAAGGCATCCGGGAAGCCGTCGCGGCCGCAGAACGCCTATTGGATGTGGCTCGGCGAGAACCGCGACTCGTTGACCAAAGAGGCGGGCACCGCGCGTGGGCCCGTTGTTGGCAAGCTCGCTGGCGAGAAGTGGAAGGCTCTGTCAGCTGCGGCCAAGAAGCCGTTCGAGGAGAAAGCCGCGGTGCTGAAGGCCGCGTACGACAAGGCCCTGTCGGAGTGGAAAGAGAGCAACGGCGGTGGCGGGGATGACGAGGACGAGGACGGCGGCGACGCGGCCGTCGGCGGAGCCTAGCCAGTTCGTTCCTAGGCGCGCCTGGCCTCAACGCGGAAGTTGCTATCTCACACGTCATGCGAGCGATGCTGCTTCCTCGCAGCACGGATCGGGAGCAGGCCTGCGGGCCACATCTATTGCGAGCGGGCGGCGGGCGGCGTCGCGGCTCACATTTAGTGCTGGCGTGGGGGGCCGGCGGACTCCCAGAGTGAAGGGCGCATTGCATGCTCGAAAAAGGTGTTAGACCTTCTCGGATGCGATTGAGGAGGGCTAGGACTGAGAGGAGGAGGAGGAGAAGGAGGAGGAGAAGGAGGAGGAAGCGGAAGAGGAGGAGGAGGAGGAGGAGGACTAAGACTAGAATGAGGAGGAGGAGGAGGAGCAGGAGCAGGAGGATGAGGAGGAGGAGGAGGAGGACTGAGACTAGGAGGAGGAGGAGAAGGAGGAGAAGGAGGAGAATGAGGAGGAAGAAATCGACGAGGATCAGGACCCGGAAGAGGAGGGCGCGGGCACTGCTCTAGAGCTTCGCTGGCACTGGCGGGGCCAAGCGGTGGCTGGCGGCGGCGGCGGGCGCAGGAATGCCGCCTAGGTATTCCTCGCTGGCTGCGCTCCCGCGTGTCGAAGTCTTTTGGCCTCGGCCGGCAGACCCCTCCCCCCCGGGAGTGGCCGTCGTCTCAGACGGCTGGCCGTCTCTGGGGGAGGCGCCCTCCCGGAGGGAGGGGCGGCGGAGGTGTCTGCCGGCTCCCGATGAACGTGCGCCGGCCGCGGGAGAGACCCGCGCGCGCCGCCAGGAGGAGGAGGAGGAGGAGGAGGAGGAGGAGGAGGAGGAGGAGGAAAAGGAGAGGGTATCTTGCTCACCGCAGGTGGAGAAAATCCGAGAGGACAAGCTGCGCGCAGAGGAGGAGACGGCGGCCATCATGCGCACCGTGCAGGCCGCAGGGTCACCCGCCTGGTCTTGCAGGGCTCGATGGGGGACTCTCCAGCGCCGCCTCGTCCATTCCTCCTTGTCCTCGTCCTGCTCCTCGTCTCTATCCTTCAGCTTGGGGGGGGCGGGTGGTTTCACATACCCCACCATCACTGAGTTGTCAAGCTTTTTGGCTACGAGTGCTGTGCAAGCACGGTCAGATCAGGGCTGGCCGACGGCATATTATCCTCCGCTCCATGCTTACCCGCCAATTTCTCATCGTCTCCCTCCTCATTTTGCCTCCTCTACTTCCACACCGTTCTCTTCTTCCTCATTCCATCAATTATCCGAACTATTGGTTCTCCTCCAGTCTCCTCGGTCCTCCGCCCTGTCCTTCTCGTCTCCCTTCCTCCTCCCTTGTCCCCTCATTCTCCCGTCCCCCCATGGTTCCTCATCTGCATCATCCTCCACTGCCTCCTCGACACGACGAGCCAGATAGAAGAAGGTGCAGGAGTTTGGCCGTATGCTGAATAATTCGGGCTGGCAATGCGCATCAGTCAAAAGTTTTGACCTCCTGGGCTTGCGCACGTTCCCCAATTTGGCTTTGCCTAGGGGGTCTGACCTGTTTTGTGTAGAACAGGAGTTTGCTAAGTCCACTTCGTGAGGTGGGTCTCAGCTTTCCTCGGTTCTCAGGTATTCATCCCTGCCGTCATTCCTCGGGTTCTGCGTTCTTCTTCCCTGGGTTTTTCGGTCCTACTTTTTGCCTTCCTGTCTCTGGCTCCCTGCCCTGGTCTCAGCCGTCCTCTTCCTCGGCTGCCTGGTCTTGTTCTTCGCCTTCGTTCTTATGCCAAGCAAGGCAATGCCAAGAAATACCAACCAATCCCAAGAAATTCGAGGCAATGCCAAGCAATGCCAATCAATGCAATGCCAAGGAGATCTGAGTCACGAGCCGAGGAAGCTGTTCCCTCATTGCGGTCGCGCCGGGCTCCGTCTTTCATGTTCAGGAGGGCTTCAAACTGCCCAAATGGCGCAGCCCGGCCCTGTGTGCGCTAGCCTTCTGCGTGACCCGCGACTCACCCCGCCGCGCGACCCACCGTGCAACCCATCGCTCGACCCGCGGCGGCGTTACCAACCGTGTAACCCACCGCGCGACCCACCGCGCAAGCCAGGGCTCCCCGCGCAACCCTCCGCGCAGCCTTTGAGCAACTCACCGCGCAGCCCACCGCGGATCGCGCAACAAGCGCGCAACCGACCTCGCAGCCCGCTGCGCACCCCTCCGTACATCGCTCGATCCAACGAGCAAGAACCGCGCAGTCCTACGCGCAATCGTATGGCGGTAACGGCTGGAACGCGGCGCATCGGGCCGCCTGATTGCCACGCAGCCGCGGCACCCACTCTGCAGCCTGGCAACAGATAGACCTCGGCCGCCAGGGCCAGCTGCTTGCCACTCACCCCACCGCGAAGTTTCGCGCGCAATCGGGCAAGGGCCCGACCCTGCACGAGCTCTTCAGTGCTAGCAAACTGCCTGGCGAGTGCGTGGCGTGTAGATTTGCATGTGGATCTGCACGCGCACCCTCTCGATATATACTTCAGTCTCTGTGTCTTTCTTTACTTCTCTCGCTCTCTTTCTCTCTCTCTCTCTCTTTGTGCTCTCTCTCTCTCTCTCTTTCTCTCCCTCTCTCTCTCTCTTTCTTCCTCCGCTCGCCGTCCAGAACGACCTTGCCTAGAGGGTATCCATGCCCTGTGAGCGGAAGAAGAAGAAGAAGAAGAAGAGGTGAAAGGGGGCCTCCGAAAGCTTGTTGCTGCATTGCTTTTTGGTTTCTTCCCGTCGTCGTCGCCCCCCCCCCCCCCCAGAGAGGCAGACTTGGAGGAGCACCGGCGGAGACTGGACGAGGAACCCCGCCCTGTCCGCTGACCCGCAGGGCCCGACGGCCAGCTTGGCATCGCTCGGACGTGTGCATCTTTCCTTCGGCGAGGACCATCGAGGAGCATCCTTGATCATTTGGCGAAAAACCACGCACGAAACTGAAAACAGCACAGGGAATGGACGTGCGAGCGATGGCGAGCCAGCTGGGGCAGGGTGCACGCATCGGCCCTCCTCCCCTTTCGGATGCCACTCCTGGGAGGTCAAATTCTGATTTTGCCCTGGTCCGAAATCCGGCTTAATCCGGCTTGATCCGGCTTGATCCCGCTGAATCCCGCTGAATCCCGCTCAAGTCCGTTTAATCCGGCTTCATCCCGCTTAATCCGAAGCCCACTCTGGCGTAACAGCCCCGCAATGGGGCTTAATCCTTCTTAGTCTTTCCGACGAAGACCTCCCAGCAGTTGCTTCCTAATCCCCTCCCCCATCTGCAGCTTGCACGTGTACGCTAGGCGAACTCGGGTCAGCTGGGACCGTAGCATTCGTATCATGAGCGAGGGCGGCTCCTCCGCCCATCACCCTGAGAAGCAGGAGCACAGGGCAGAGAGGCAGCAGTGGCGGCGGGGGAATACAATTCAACCATCGTGTTGCGGCAGTAGCCCGCTGCAGCTGCTGCTGCTGCTGCTCCTCCTCATTCGGGGGAGGGAAGGGGAAGGGATGGGCAGACGGCCGTCCAGCGCCTCTCGCAGTTTTGAGCCCTCGGAGGCCGGGGTCGGGCCGGGCCGGCCGCAGGCCCTTCCAAGAACACGTCGGGATGTTGCGCTGGCCCCTGGGGAAGGGCTGGGCCGAGAGGTCCTCAGGCACATGCGGCATGTGCCTGAGGACCTGTGACATGCCGTGAAAACGTTAACGTTTTCACGGCATGTGACATGCCTGTTAACGTTTTCACGGCATGTGACATGCCGTGAAAACGCTCCAGGATGAGGTTTCTGGGGCGAGGATCTGTGATGTGGTCGCCCCTTGTGAGCCTCCTCGAAGGCCTTCGTCGCCGCGGCTGGCTGCGCCTCCTAGTCCTGGTCAGAGTGCGATCAAGGAGAGGTCGGGAGGGCGACGGCTGCTCCTCCTCCCCTCTCCTTCCCCCGCACTTCCTCGTCCTCCCTCCCTCCTGCTGCACATCGCTTCCCCCCCCCCTCCCGCTCTGGCAGCCCCCGCTGCCCCCAGGAGGCCTCGGACCCCCAGACGCCCCTTGGAGGCTCCACCGCAGGCCCGCAAGAGGGCGAGACTCAGGAGGGGAAAAAACACACAGACACAATGAATCGGCGATTCCCCAGAAAACATGGGAAAATCTGGGAAGTCGGGGGGAAGACAGAAACCCAGGAAAGATGGGAAAATATGGGGAATCAGGTTATTTGTGTCTATTTGTTTGTGTGTCCCAGTTCCCCTTCAGAGACGCGCCCAGAAGCCTCGCTCTCCGGCCCCGACCCCCGCTCCGACACTGTCGCCGCGCAACGCCCGGCGGACGGCGGCGGCAGGCGCGCCCCCGGCGCTCCCGCGCGGGCGCTGCCGCGCCGCGCGCCGGCGCCGGCCCCGAGGAGCGCGTCCGCCTGGAGCAGGAGGGCGCCTCCCGCCGCAGGAGGGCGGCCCCCCCTCCCCCCCACAACGCGCTCTCCGCCCCCCCTCCGGGGGGGAGAGGCTCGCCCTCTGCCGGGAGAGCGAGCTGCTCCGGCCGTCCCCGCACGAGGTTGGCCGACGAAGTTCCGATTACTGCATATATCTATATCTATATCTATATCTATATCTGTATCTCTATCTATCTATCTATCGATATATCTATATATCGATCTATCTATCTATCTATACATATATATATCTATATATCTATCTATCTCTCTATATATATATATATCTCTATATATGTATATCTATCTATCTATCTATATATATATATATATATCTATCTATCTATGTATGTATAAATATCTTTATATATATGTATCAATATATCTATATATCTATATATCTATCTATATATCTATCTATCTATCTATATATCTATATATAGATATATATATCTATATATCTATATATATAACGATATATATACCTCTCTATATATATCCATATATGCATACATGTACATCTCTATATGCATACATCCATCTATCTATACATATATGTTTACATATCTATATTTGTATATGTGTATATCTATACATCTATATATCTATATATATATATCAATCGTTTATATATATAGATCTGTATATATGTACATCTTTTTATATCTATATCTCTGTACATATATGTATCAATATCTATGTCTATGTATATACATATATATACATCCCTGTCTATCGTTATATATATATATCTATCTAGTTATATATATACATATGTATACATATATCGATCGATCGTTATAATATATATACATATATATAGATATCTGTCTATATCTATGTATCAATCTATCTATCAATCTATATATCTATCTATCTACATACATATATCTATATATCAATCTTTATATCTATATATTTATACACATATATATCCATATATATCTATATCTGTATATCTAGCTATCTATATATATACATCGATCTATATATACATATATTTATATATCTTTCTGTATATCTATATATATATATATCTCTATATATCTATCTATCTATCTATCTATCTATCTATCTATCTATATATCTATATATCTATCTATCTATCTATCTATCTATCTATCTATCTATCTATCTATCTATCTATCTATCTATCTATATATTGTCCGCCGTCGAGGAGTCTGCCCCACGGCGGCTGGGGAGTGTTTGTACGGCGACGTGGCATCGCAGTGGTATGACTTGTTCCGGGCGCCCTGGGGCAGGCGTCAACCTGCGAATGAAGATCACGCGCAGTCAGATCACGACGTCAGCATCGGTGTCTTGCCTGGTGGAGCGATCGCCGCCTGCATGTGTGATGTTTGTCATGCCATTTCGCGCAGTCTTGTGTCACTCGTGTACTTGCTGCGTTCGCGTGCCGCTGCCACTCTGACTCGAGTCCTGACGAGCCCTAGCAGGGGGCGAAAGGTTGACGCGCGTGCAGAAACAGGCATGGGCTTCACAGAACCACACGAGTCAGGCTGGTGCCCACTGGGGAGCCGCCTTGCCACCAGAGCCTGGGCAGGCCCCCAGAACCACGCTGGAAACATCGCAGAGTCAATCAGTGGCGAAGCGTCCTGGCTCGCATATAGCCCCACCAAACAATGTTCTCAGAGCCTTTTGTGGTTTCCACGAAATGTTCTCAGAACATTCCTGGCGGAGTCTGTCTTGCTTGATCACATCGGGTCTATGTTCTAAGAACACTGTTTTTGTTCTCAGAACATCTTTGGGTTCTAAGCACATTGCCTGGTAGGACTATAGGAATGCCGGGGCGGTCGGTCCCTGCTCAACAGAGAGCTCGCCCCCGCGCCGCCGGCGGCCTGCTCCCCGCGCCCGCGCGGCATGCCCAGGCGGGCCGCCCGGCCCCTTGCCGGACTCGGTGCGTGGCCTCGGGCTGCTCGGTCGTCGGGAGGTGGGCCTTTCTCAGGAGGGAAAAAACACACAGACACAATTCACCGTCGATTCCCAGGAAAATGTGGAAAAATATGGGAATTGGGGGGGGAAGACAGAAACCCAGAAATATATGAAAATATGGGGAATCTTTTTATGTGTGTGTGTTTATTTGTGTGTCCTTGGGCCCCTTCACTCTCCTAAAGGACGGCGAGGGTCGGTTGGCCCCCCTGTTTCGGGCCCGTGGGGGCCAGCGGGGGGGAGGGGGGGAGCCCGTCGAAGTGGCCTCGCACGTCTCACACGTCCTCCTCACTCAATCGTCGTCGTCCTCGTCCTCCTCGTCGTCCTCCTCCTCCTCCTCCTCCTCCTTCTCCCCCTCCTCCTCCCCCTCCTCTACCGTAGCCAGTTTGGCTCGCGCGTCCGTGCCCCGTGGTATCTGCTGGCACTGCCCCTTGGCGCACAGTGTCCGAGTCCCCCCGGGCGTGATGTTCGTGGTCCTCGGTGCTACGTGTTTGATGTCGACTTCTTTCACCCCCCTGGTGCCAGGGGGGCCTAAGGCTGCTTATCCTCGGCATCGCTCGGACGTGTACATTTTTCCTTCGGCGAGGACCATCGAGGAGCATCTTTGATCATTTGGCGAAATAAACCACGCACGAAACCGAACAAAAACAGGGAATGGACGTCCGATCGATGGCGAGTATCGGGGAGCGGTACACTGTTCTCTTGGAGCTTTGCGTTGTTTGGGGGGAACTGCAAAGATGGGTATGCATACTTCACTGCACTTCGCCCAGGCTGCACTCGGTCCTGTTGCCCTTGGACATGGATTGGATCACGGTTTGGTTGCGCCTTCGCTTGACTTCCCCAGGCAACGTCGTATGCACGACATCGAGCAATTTTCGAGGTCGCAGCGCTCGCTGGAGCTGGTACATGGTGTCCCTTACTGTCGTTCGCTATAGGGGATGCTGGATATGGCGCAGGGGCGAGGGGTATTCTCACGCTGCTTGGGCATGGATGGACATGATGCGGATGCGAGGTAACAGTGCGCGACATCGGCGGTGGAAGGTGCCCTGTAGAACAGTTGTTGTCATTCGGATTGTCGACCACCTTGATCCTGCCGAGGATGGTCGTGAAAAGCTGAATCCTCATGCTGCTGAGTGTGTGCCAAGTGTTCCTGCTCCTCTTCGTCTCCCCCCCCTTGCAGGTGATGCGGCGGGTGTTCTCTTTCGAGCATTTCGCGGTGGACCGTCAGAAGGTGGTATGATGAGCGACGATGGTCCAGAGGAACAGGAGGATCTGGAGCGTCTTCAGGATGACCCACAGGAGGATATGATCGATTCGATGCACTTCGAACTTGGCGACGAACATTACGATGCCGACAGCGACCCCGCACAGGATGCAATTGACATGGTGAACTACGAATGCGGCGACGATCCTTATGAAGACGACGATGGGTGGGATTTGCCCGAAAGCATGATGTTACCAGCTGCTGCTGATTTTGGCGAGGCGTCTTCTGGCAGGTCTTGTCTGGAAGGTAGAGGCCCCGAGATTCCCAGACAAGATGGAGGTGCCAATGAAGGACTTTGAAAACCCACTCGCGAAACTGCCCCTTGCGCTTTGTTGGATGCTGGGTGAAATGGCAGTGACGCTGATATCGCAGGACGAATGGCACGTATAGATGAGATTAGTCGTGTTTCCGTTTCTGACACGGTTGTCGTTGACACATTTTTTGGTAATTTCGAATTTGACATGGCTGGACATCTTGCTGACGATGTTGTGGCGATTGGGAGCAGGAGCAGGGAAGCTGGAGGCCAAAAGGTCCCGAGGCAACCTGCCAGTGCCGATGCCAGGCTTCGAAAGCCCCTTCGCGACGATGCACGTGTTGATTTTGGGGCTCTTTCTGACGAGGTGTGGCTCCTCTCTGTCAGCACAGGGGAGACGGCGGCCCCGAGGTCCTGAGACACGGAGTCGCCGATTATGGATTTCGAAGACCATTCGTTATGCTGTTTTCGTCTGCTCACGGCACCGCGCTAGTGCCATATCCGACCCCGCCTTCGTTTGGGAGCACGTGGCGGACACGCCGCCATGGGTTGCCCTTGTTGCTGGCTTGGCAGAGCCCGCGCCCGCCGATGTGGTGGTCCCTGTGGCCTTGAACGTCGAAGATGGAGGCCCCGAGGTCCACATGGCACATACTGACAGCATTTACCGTGCTTCTTTTACTGATATGTCTGTCTCTGGCACCAGCGTTTCGGATGTGACGCTTCTATTTCCTGACGTGGCAAATCGCATGGCCTAGCTCCTTTTCGGCGGTGTTGTAGTGCCTTGGAGCGGGGGGGGGGGGGAGATGGAGGCCCCCGGGGACTTGAGGCCATCTGCAAGCGCAGAGGATGGACCTCGAAAACCCAGTCGCGACGCTCAACGAGACGGTCTCGGTGCTCTGTGGCAGCCGAGGGAAGATGGAGGCTCCGATGTCCTGAGGCACGGAGCCGTCGATGATGGGCCTCAAAAACCAACGTGTGCGAATGCTTGTGATCCGGGCCCTGTTCATGTGGACAGTGACTCTGAGACTGCGAATGCGGACGACGACGATATTGTTGATTTTGGTGCGTTCACAATTTGCTGCACGGGACTCGGATTGCCTCTCGATCCGACTGGCTTTGCGTGCAGCTACTCGTTGTTTCGGCCCATTGAGCCGTGCCTGCAAAGATTGGATTTGCACTTCGGCGGTCGAAGTCGTTGAGGAGATGCTCTCGGTGGGTCTCCGGGGCCCAAGGGTCAAAAATGGCATGTTACCTGATGTCGGGTGGGGCGATTTCAATTTTGCATCCATCGTCAGTTTTATTGCTGTTCGGCTATTTTCCGCCTGCGGCAGCCCCGGTCTGGCCGCTCAAGACGTGCCACGGTTTGCTGAAGGCGTCAAGGTCGCCACCCGCCTGTCGTTGACAGGGCCACGTGCTCGCATGTGGGCCAAGCGGCGTGCTCTTCGGCGCCCGGGAGGAGAACTCGCTTCATCGCCAGGCCACGCTCCGCTCGTCGTCCTCGTCCTCTTCGCTCCTCCTCTGGAAATAATTGCCCCGTGCTCCTTCGGAAAGAATCGCGGCTTCTGTCATCGTCCTCGTCCTTCTCATCTTCCTCAGCTTCCTCGGTTTCTTCATCCCCCTTGTCCCTTTCGTTGTCTTCCTCTCTCTCTCTCTTTCTCTCTCTTTCTCGCTCATTCCTCCTCGGAGGAGGGGGGGGGGGGGATGGGATGAAGGAGGGGAGTATATAATGTCAAGGGCAGGTGGATGTGGAGAAGGGGCGAGACCTCCAGACATTCAGATCTCATCAGCCTGACCCTCAGCCTGCACAGCAACGCACACGACATCATAATGCAAGGATGCGCCCACTCATCCCTGCAAAAGGCCGCCCAGTCGCTCTCCTCCAGGCGGCGGACGATCAATCTTGCGGCTTGCACTGCATTGCGAATTGCCTTCCTGTGCCCGGGCAGAGGGGGCGAGGACGAAGAGGGCGATGGGGGATGCGCTTGTGAAGGTGGAGGAGGAGGAGGAGGAGGAGGAGGAGGAGGAGGAGAGGAGGAGGAGGAGGAGCAGGAGGAGGGGTGGCGCGTTCGAAGCGAACTCCGAGGCCGGCAGCGACAGCGACAGGAGAAAATGGACAGGGAGGGAGGGGAGGAGGTCTACCCTGTGGGGAGAAGAAGAAGAGGATGAGTAGGACGAAGAGAGGGAGGACAATGGAGATTGAGAGGGCAAGAGTGCAGAGATGTGGAGGCCGCTCCCGCTGGCGCGCGCGCGCGGCCAGGAACGTGGCGCACGAGTACGAAAAGTTCAAGCAGGCCTCCCCAGCTCTGATAGGGGCCAGCCCCTCTCCCTGCCAGGAAGCTGCACACACCAAGCGCGGCTGGCCTGGGATTGCGTTGAACACATAGAACGGTCCAGAATTGTTGGTTAACGTGTCGTTCTGCCAGATCTGGCCCTTCGCGCCTCGGTGTGACACGCTATCCACTTTGCGGTCCCGAGGCGTCCGCGTCCCGAGCTTTTCCCGACCTCCCGCCACGCGGAGCGGGGCGACATGGCACAGCGTAGTGTGTCGCCTGGGCCGCCGCGGCGACACGCTGATGAAACGTTCCCGACCGTGTGGCCGCAGGTCTTCCAGCGCTCGGCCCTGGTGTGGTCGGGTACGTTCGTTCACCGCATGCTCATCCACTCTGAAGGAGGAAGGGCAAAGGCGAGATGTATCGAGCGTTTGTCCGCGGTCGCTTGGGCTCAAGCGACCGGCCGCCAATTTGACCGGGTCGCACCGCGGCCCGCTATCTGACATCGAAACGGAAAAAGGTCCACTTTTTACTGTCGAGATGTCCCTTTTGCCGATCACGAAGCCTTCTCCTACCTCTTGCTCTATCGCTAATACGATACAAGAGGGTTGGACGTATACTACGTCTAAGGCGTAGTATCTGGTTGGGTCTCCCAACTGGCTTTAAAATTGGTAGCGCATTTGGCCGTTGGTGGCCAGCTCTAGCTCTACCCCTTGCTATCCACGGCGCTATTTGGTGGACTACTGATATGGTGGACCATCAGGGCGCAGTGGCTTTACGCGGAGGAGGCCATGGCCATCGCAAGGACACTTGCCATTCAGCGGGTTCCTACCTGAGGCCGACATCTCTGCGCTACTACACTCCTGAAGTCCACCCACCAACGCCTCTTGGCAATGTCTTCGAAGATACCATGCATGGCAACATGCGTTATGACATCGTGCCGCTTGCAGTTCCTCGCTAACTGACGGCAGAACCACCTCACAAACAACAGCCACTTACAACCGACACCGACCTCCGGGTCCACTGGATGGCATCGCTATCATTGGCCCCCCTTGGGTCGCCATCGGATGTACTGTTGGATACATGCAACGCGGTGCTGACGACACGCGCCCTACCGGCCCCCACTGAGACCCTGCCGGTAACGTACCTTTCCGCGAGTTCGTTCGCGATGTGCATGTCTGGATCAACGTGGCCACAGGCATTACGACTCCCTCCCAATGGGCTGCTGCTCTACATCGCGGCCTTGGAGGTATCGCAACGTCCATTGCCACGATAGTCCCCCCAGCAGCAATCAACTTTGGTGTGGGCATTGGTGGACGCCACACCGATGGGGTCATCTGTATAATGTTCATCCTCAGCACTGAGGTCGAGAATATTAAAGATGATAGACAACTGATTTCGGGGACGGTTCTCATCGACTTTCGCGTCCATGCGGGAAAACGGATCGACCAGACGCTGGCGCGTTTCGATATCGCACGCTTTGAAGCTGACGTTGCGGGGTTCAACATCCCAAATTTTCCAATTCCTGGCAGTCACACTGCTCAGGGGCCCCGTGGTTCGCGTGCACAGCAATACTACAATCACTGGACCACCA